TTATCTTTTTTTTTTCCTCTCTCTTTATTTCCTAGTAATTCTGTTTCTCTGGAGGTTCATGCTTTTGTTTGTTGAATTTGGTTAGTCTAATTCATGCTGCTAGTTTTCATAAGCAATTGGTGATTCATGTTTTATCTTATTGGTAACTGAAGGGTGAGATTAAATCTATTAATTTTTCTCTAGCTCATGTAAAAATCCCATTTGTGTGTTGTTGAATCTAGTGTCTGATTAAAGTCTTTATCTCCTCTAGTGATTGTGGAGAAGGAGTGGAACTCGTAGATAACTTACCTTTTGAGTTTGGACTCTTTCCTTTCTTCCTGCGATCTCTAAGTAAATGGGAAAAACTTCTCTTTTTCTCTGGCTCCTATCTTAGCTTTGTAAGGCTGTCATTACTGAGAGACTCTTATGTTATATATTATGTTTTTACACATACTAGAGTTGTCTTGTGTTTTTTGATATCTAATTATTATAGATTTATGTTTTAATATTTTATAGGACTAAATCATTTTGTTACTTTTTTAAAAATCATGGAAGTACTTTATTTGAAGCTTGGGGAAGAAAGACTTTGGTGACACAGAACAGCTGTTTCCATTTTAAGCAGAGAAACGCAGGAGAGATTTCTGTAAGAAGGTAGCAAGCAGCTCAGATTCCATTGTTCATAATTTTGGTGAGGGACTCTGTAGAATCACTTTTACTAAATTGGGAGTAGGCCCATCTCCCATTACTTGTTATAATTTTCTCACATGTTTTTTCTTTATCATTTCACATGCTTTTAGGATTATATAGTTAAAAATAACTATCTATTATATTTTGACTATGAATCCACCAAATATACAAACTAATTTGAGAATGATTGATAGCATTGTAATATTTGAGATTTCTTTTCCAAGACAAGGGATGTTGTCAAGTTTATCGATTTCTAGATTAAATTCCATATGATTAAGAATCAGTAACAACTTATGAAGATCTTTAAAATAACCAAAGATCTATTTCACAATTTCTATCTCTTCTCTACTGACTAAAACACCGATTAAAAAAAAACAAGCACCTCAAGAATCAATATAGAAGGTACATTAAAAAAAATCTTCAGTACAACTTGAGTTATGAACACTGACGAGACATTTGATAACATTAATGAATTACTGTTCATTTTTTAGGTATTGCTAATTTGATAATTGTTGGATACGGGTTTATAACATTGGAAATAATTCACACCGAGACAATGGATAACTCAGCAAGGCTAGTTTACTCCCTGCAGGAATGGTGCAACTTGCTGGTAGTCTTGCCACGAGAGCACCCCTAAACAAAGGAGACAGGGACATTTATAACTTTCATAATCTGATGCAAGCACCCTACTACTGTGTCCAGTTTCCATTAGCCGGAATGGGAACTCAAATTCTATGCTTGACCCGATTGGCTAAAAACTTGGAAATTTTCTAAAGAAGAAAAGGCAGAGGAGAACAAAGGAAAAGAGGAAGTAACTTGAGGAATGCTTAGAGAAGTGATAACATTTCCAAGCAAGGAAGGGGAATAAGCTATGACCTAAGATTTGCCTGGGCTTGTCCAGGCATGTCTGGGTGAATATCTAGGTTAAAGTGTAAGAACTAAGAACATGGGATGCACTTATTTCTTTATTATGACTAACAGTTACTTTAAGATTATTAGCAAAAGCTTTAAAGTAAATTAACCTTTGAAGAAACTATTATTTATTCATAATGAACTAAAAGGAAAGCTTTGAAGAGGAACCTTTTATTGATTCTTTTTTCCTACAATACTGTTGCTAACAGTATTTTGGTTATGCTGTTTAAAAAGAGTGCTGATCTGCTGGCTGCAGTGGCTCACACCTGCAATCCCACCACTTTGGGAAGCTGAGGCAGGTGGATCTCAAGGTCAGGAATTCGAGACCAGCCTGGCCAATATGGTGAAACCCCGTCTCTACCAAAAATACAAAAATTAGCTGGGTGTGGTGGCGGGCACCTGTAGTCCCAGCTACTTGGGAGGCTGAGGCAAAGAATTGCTTGAACCCGAGAGGGGGAGTTTGGAGTTAGGTGAGATTCCACCACTGCACTCCAGCCTGGGCCACAGAGCGAGACTCCATCTAAGAGAGAACAAAAAGAGTGCTGATCTTTGAGACATATACATTGAAATAGGATTTCTAGAATTTGCTTCAAAGTTATATAAGGTAGAAAGTATATAGGGGTATGAAACAAGATTGACCATGAGTTGCTAATTGTCAGAGCTGATAGTTATGTGGTTTATTATATTACTCTGTTTCCTTCATATATGTTTGAAGTTTTCCATAATAAAAATGAAAAATAAAGACAAATGTACAATGTCAAATAAAAGAATAGTAAGTAATGAGATGTACTGCTAACCACATTTATAGCCACAGGACAAAACTACTTTTAAAAATTGATTCTATTTTTTCCTGCCCACTTAAAAGTAATCTGTTGACCTTAAGCAAAACTATGAAGTAGGTATAGTTTATATTCTTTATTTCCTGTGTCATCTTTCTTCTTCTTAGTCCAATACTTGTTTTCCTTCTCCTTTGTCAAGTGCACATTGTGCTCTTGTTTGCCTCTTTATCTTCAAAAATTGTCATTCAAGAAACCCTGGCAGATGAACCTGTCCAAGTTAACATATAAGAGAAGAATGCTTTGTGAGGGAGATCAGGGATAGAAGACAAGAAATAGGTCTGATAGAGTATTAGAAAAAGATTTGAACATTTGGAAAAATGCTGATAAAAATGTGAAAAGCTTGTTGAAACATTTGGAAAAAAGTTTTGAGAGTTTAATATGAAAAACACTATTTTACTTTTAAAAAACGGAGAGTGGGAAGACCAGGAAGGTAAAAGCTGAAACCTCTAGTATTCTAGCAGAAAGTAGGTAATGTACAAAAGGGGACAATCACAAAGTAGCAACATTAGCATATTATCAAGAAAGAAGAGAAACTACCAGCACATCTGATTAGAAGAAACCATTAAGTTCCTAATAATTAGTTCTGGGAATAGGATAAGTTTGGAGAAGGGTAAACAGCATGGAACAGAAAACTGTATTTTATAAGCCATTTAGCAGTACAATCTGATTTTTAACAGTGTCTGTATTTTGTTTTAATAAAAATAAAAGTTAATATTAAAAACAACTTCTGTATTTATTGTTGATTTATTTTCCGAAACATCAAATAGAGATAAACTGATAAGATTATAATATTGAATGAGGGGAAGGGTCTAGCTTCACTCTCTTACATGTACATGTTATCCCAGCACCAATTGTTGAAAAAACTATTTTTTCTTTAATTATCTTGGCACATTCGGAATCAACTGACCATACATTCATGGATTTGTTACTATGCTCTTGTTTAGTTATATGTCTGTCTATATGCTAGTTCCACATAGTCTTGATTACTGTAGCTTTTTAGTAAGTTTTGAAGTTGAGAGTGTGAGATCTGCAACTTTGTTGTTCTTTTTGAAGGCTCTTGGGTATTCTGGATTTTTTTTTTTTTTTTTCTTTTGAGTTTCCACATGAATGGAATGAGCTTGTCAATTTCTACAAAAAAGGAAAGGCAGTAGAGATTTTTATAGGGATTGTGTTAAACCTGTAGATTAATTTGGGAACTTTTGCCATTTTAATAATAAGTTCTCTGATCCATGAACGTGGGATGTCATTTATTTAGGCCTTCTTCATTCTTTCAGTGATGTTTTATAGTTTTATTGTACAGATTTTGTACTACTACTGTTACATCTATTTCTCAGCATTTTTTTTTTTTTGATGCTACTATTAAAGAAACGGTTTTCTTAATTTCATTTTTGGATTGTTTGTCACTAGAGTATAGAAATACACTATATGTAACAACGTATTGGTTGTTTTATATTGATTTTCTATCTTGAAATCTTGGTGAACTCACTTATTAATTATAGTAAATTTTTGTATATTGGGATTTTCCATATATAAAATCAAATGATCTGCAAATAGAAATTGTTTTACTTATTGCTTTCAAATCTGGATGCCTTTTACTTGTCTTCTTTCCTTTCTTTTTTTGCTTAACTGCCCTGTCTAGAACCTCCAATACAAAGTTTAATAAAAATGCCAAAAGTATACAGCCTTGTTTTATTCCATATTTAAGAGTAAAAGCTCCATTAAGTATGATGTTAGCTGTGGGTTTTTCATAGAAGCCATTTATCAGAGTGAAGTATTTTCCTCCTGTTTTTAGCTGAGTGAATATTTTTATTATGAAAGGGTTTTAGGTTTTGTCTAATGATTTTCTTTGTCTGAAATATTAGGTTTTGTTCTTTGTTCTATTGAGAATATTATATTGATTTATTTTTAAATACATTGAACTACTCTTGCATTCCTGGGATAAAGTGAACTTGCCCATTATGTACAATTCTTTTTATATGTCACTGGATTCAGTTTGCCAATATTTTAAGATTTTGCATCCGTATTTCTAGGAGACATTGGCTGTAATATTTCTGTGTGTGTGTGTGTGTGTGATGTTGGGTTTAGTATCAGGGTAATTGGTCCCATAGAGTGAGTTGGAAGGTGTTTCTTCCTCTTTTTTCGTTTTTTTTTAATTGGAAGAGTTTGTGAAGTATTTATCTTAATTCTTTTTAAATTGTTTCATAGAATTCGGCAGCAAAAGCTGGTTCTGGGCTTGTAGGAAGTTTATTATTCCTAAATTAGACTTTTTACTTGTAAGTCTATTTGAATTTTGTATTTTTCCTTGAGTAATGTTTTTAAATTCAAAAAATAAAAAGCAAGTGAAATGTTGTAAGTATGTATAAAGTAGTCTGATAAAGTCCAAATTGCATCTAAAAATCTATTCTGCTACTAATTACTGGAAAGTCAATTTGAAACTCATACTGTTTAACAATTTCATTTTTGAAAATGTTATTTTTTAAAAGAATATTCTAAATGTCTATTTGCATTATTAAAATAATCTTACTCCATAATGGTTTGAAATTTTTGTTTTGTTTTGTTTTTATGTTGCTTTTATCTCAGCAGCAATGCAGCAAGTCTTGGAAAACCTTACGGAGCTGCCTTCATCTACTGGAGCAGAAGAAATAGACCTAATTTTCCTCAAGGGAATTATGGAGAATCCTATTGTAAAATCACTTGCTAAGGTATATAGATTTGTTCATAAGATTACTGAATTATTTTGGACATAGTTTTTACAGAGATATTTTCAGATATTACTATTTTAGAATTTGGTTGACATATTAGGTTTAGTTACCAAATAAAAGCACTTAGCACATAATGAAATCTTAACATATGCAAAAATTAGAGTATTTTTGCCTTTTCTATTCTGACTTCAGATACAGGATTAAGTGACTCTTAGTTTTGGCATAATGCCTTTAAGCTTTAGAGAAATCATACCTGCACAGATGTGTTTTAACAAGGCCTGTGAAAAAGATCCTGATCCTATTTCCATTTTCAACAATGGCAAGGTACTGATTTTCTTCTTTTACATTAGACTGTGTAGCTATTTTTCACTTAAATTCTTGACTTCCTTTAGCACTTTTTTGAAATTTTGTATTTGTGGTATAAGCCTGATATTTTACGTGTGTTTGCCTAGTCAACTCTGGAGCTATCTCTTTAATTCATTGATAAATATACTTTACAACCATTTTTGTTAAATTATTATGTACTAAAACTTAATGTATTACCTACTTTACAACCCTGCTATACTATTCTTTAGAGTTCCCCAAATGATTCTTGCTTTCAAGAATCTATGCCACGTGCCTTTTTTGACCATTTCTTCATATAGGCCACCTTGTTCCTTTTACTTTTTGCTCTATGAGAATGTTGATTTCACTCTCTTCTGTTTATTAGCCACAGTCTATTACTTGTTTTCTTCAAAGACTTCTGAAAAATACCTTTTACAAAGTTTTCTACTAGTGAGTGAGTTAATGATGCAGATTTTTTTTTTTTTTTTTCTTTTTTTAACGGAGTCTTGTTTTTTTGCCTAGGCTGGAGTGCAGTGGCATGATCCTGGCTCACTGTAACCTCTGCCTCCTGGCTTCAGGTGATTCTCCTACCTCAGCCACCAGAGTAGCTGAGACTAGAGGTGTGTGCCATCACTCCTGGCTAATTTTTGTATTGTCAGTATAGGAGGGGTTTCACCATATTGGCCCCGCTGGTCTTGAACTTCTGACCGCAGATGATCCACACACCTTGGCCTCCCAAAGTGCTGGGATTACAGGTGTGAGCCACCACACCTGGCCAATGATGCAGATTCTTCATTTTTTTTTTAACATATTTACTCATGCCAAAATTATATGGTATACAGGCCCTTAAGTAGAAACAAATCTGCTTGCAGATAATTCAAGTGGAATTTTTATTTTAGTCATTTTTTTATTATACTTTTTCCAGTGTTCATTAGATATTTTTATATTTTAATAGTAATATGCAGGATATTGTTTCAGATTTAAACTTGTCATAAACATTAATTCCTATTGTGTTAAAATAAAATAATAGCTCCAGGGTCTGTTGAAATTAGTAGGAACTGTTTCAGTTTAGATTAAATAGCTTACCTGAGTTCTTATTGTACTTTTAAAATAGTTTTTTACTCTTCTCTCGATGTTATTCTGTAGATTGTCAGTTACTGTCCATGTGTCTGTTACACTGTTAGCTCCATGTTTATTTGATTTGTAGCTTTTGATCTGTAGATTTAAAAACTATGTAATAAGGCATTTACAACATGCTTACAGTTTACAAAGGTCTTTAAAATACACTGTTTTGTCTTCACAACATCTGTGAATTTAAAATATACTATTTTATCTTTCAACAACTTTTGAAAACTAAGACTCAAAGTAAGTTAAGTGTTGTACCTAATGTCTCTCTGCTAGTAAATGGCAGATAAGGTTTAGGCCATGTCTTCTGTCATCAAAATCCATGTTCTACCTACTACAACACAGGTTGATGGGATATGTGTATGTGTGTGTATACTTATTCTTAAGAACTGGTGTGAGTAAAAATTTATTGGTTTTGTGCCATTGATGTTGGCCTTTCAGAGGATCATCTTGTTTCTTATGGTTAACAATTGCAATGGTTGGATGACTTTTGAGCAGGTAAGGTGCTACTGTACTCTTTTGATGATAAAAGTGAAATAAAGCAAATAATTACCCAATAATATGCAACAATGAAGCAGATTTTTAATAAGGAAAAACAATGGTAGTTCAATATTCCTACAATATAGGTTAAAAAAAATCCCAGGAATAGGGGAGGAATTCTGCTTCCAAGAAAGAAATAGTAAGTCACAGCAGGTCAGCACTCTTAATATAACAAGTAGAGGGAAAAAGGAGACTCACATTGCTAGATACGCAGAGAGGCAGGAATATCTGGCTGCTAATCATGAGAGAGAGAACAGAGGCAGTCCAATAAATGGTTCTTTTATTAGCATTTATACACAAGAATTTGAAAATAACTTATTAATGTATTTTTAATAGAAAAGGGAGAAAAATGACATGTAAAATATTAGAAAATCAGAATAAAAGATAATCAAATGGGCATTTTAGGATAAAAATACAGTATCTGAAATTAGTTCACTTATAGAAGACTAGACACAAGAGAAGAAGGAATAAGTGAATTTAAAGATAGATTAATAGAAAATATTCAAACAAAAACTAATAGAAAAGAAAGAACAAAAAAAGATAGCAGAGTAGGTGAAACATAGTGAAATATGTAATATATATGTAGTTTGTATTCCAGAAAGAAAGGAGAGAGGGAAGAAGAAATGTAGGCAGACCCTGTACTTTTGCATTTCACTTTATTGCCCTTTGCAGATACTGCCTTTTTAATAAATTGAAAAGTTATGACATCCCTGCCATCGTCTGTTAGCACCATTTTTCCAACAGCATGTGCTCATTTTTTCTGTGTGTGATATTTTTGTACTTCTTGCAATATTTCAAACTTTTTCATTATATCTCTTATGTTGATCTGTGATCAGTGGTCGTTGATGTTACTCATAGTTATTTGGGGTGCCATAAACCATGCCCATATAAAATGGTAAACTTAATAAATGTTGTGTGTTCTCACTGCTCCGCCTACCACTCATTCTCCCATCTCTCTCTCTCTCTCTCTCTCTCTCTCTCTCTCTCTCTCTCTCTCTCTCTCTCTC